TGGCGTCACGTCACGGTGACGTCCGTACGTGAAGTTAGTAACACGGATATATATCGTGTGAATTTGTATCGATGGAAACTGCGCGCTTTTATTTAAAAAAATGTAGGAAGATATTGGTATATCGGATTAAAAAAATAGAGATATTGTTTTGTTAGATTATGCAGGTGTTGATCGATAAAATCAAATATGAAAAAATCTGGTTTTAAATATTTTATAATATTCTGCAAAATAAGATTGAATTGTCAATAAATATATAACGTAAATAGTCTCGTAATAAATATGCAGGATGATTTGCAGGTAAAAAAAATTAGAATGTTTTTCTAGTTATTAAAAAAAAAAATTTATACAAAAATAACATGGAAAAAATTGATATCAGAATTAACACCAATTACGCTAAAACTTTTTACATACTTTTACGAGAAAGCATCGGGCATACATATATGGCGTTCTTTCTTGAGATCCCGATCGTCGACGAATTTCCGAGATAGTCGGTCGTATCGCCGATGCTTATCTCAAACTTTTGGGGTTGTCGGCAGTACGTTATGGTGTAATAAAGTCCAAGTAATTTCACCATGATTCAAACTCTCTCCCGCGCCATAACGCAATAAAACGCTGGCTTATATAAAAGATTAGACACGCTATAGTGCACGAAATGCATTTTAGGAAATAGAAATGCTGCGCGATGGATATTTTACATAAAATCCGATTACGCTAATTTCAGCGCGTATGTGAACATGTAGGTATATATAGCTATCTTCTCTCATTCACGAAAAAAAGAATTAGTCATTACAACAAAATTTTAGTGGTCCCTATATTATAAAGTTTAGTTATCATGCTAAATTTAGCTATAGCAGCTAATATTTTTAACTATAGTTTAACGGATAATGTTCCGTTTTACTTAAAAAATATTAGTTACCAAATAACAATTTAGCTGATACATGATAATTAAATTTCAGGTGTAATATATAGGGAAAGCTAAAATGTAGTGACTATTTTTTTCCGTGTTAATTTTGATCGTTTCAGTCAAATCAATTAACTAATTTATACTTCTCGATACTATTATACTATAATATATGTATAAAGAGTGTCCCATTATTTGAGGTAATATCAGAAACTATCTGGCTTAGATCTTCTTGAGTAATATAAAGTTCGACGCGTCCGCAGTAACATGTTTTTGAAATAATAATTTATTTAAATGTTATAATTTAAATTTTATGTTTGTATGTTACAGACATCACAAAATTCAGGAGTGCCGCAAAAAATATCGCGCGTGTTAATCAACGGATTTTGACAACCCTGACAACCTGAGAGGAGGAGGAGGCCTAGGAGAGGCATCGGGCACCAAAGGAGCAACTCTAAAGTGAGTATCATTATTTGTTTATTAATTAATATAATAAGTATATTATTATAAATCATATTAATTCGGTTCATTTATTTTGAATATTTTAAACTTAGAAATACCTATTATATAAATTTTTTAAAAATATATAAATATTATATAAATTCTATAAAAGTTAAAAAAACTTTTTAATCGCATATTTAAAATCATTTTATTATATATTCATATAATTTATTATTATGCACCGAATATAAAGTTCGACACGTCTAATAATAATTTTTTAAAATAATAATTAATTTAAACGTTATTATAATTTAGATTTTATATTTGTATGTTATAGGCAACGTAAAATTATGACAACCTGAGAGAGGAGGAGGCCTAGGAGAGGCATCGGGCACCAAAGGAGCAACTCTAAGGTGAGTATCATTATTTGTTTATTAATTAATATAATAAGTATATTATTATAAATCATATTAATTCGGTTCATTTATTTTGAATATTTTAAATTTAGAAATACCTATTATATAAATTTTTAAAAATATATAAATATTTATATAAATTCTATAAAAATTAAAAAAACTTTTTAATCGCATATTTAAAATCATTTTATTATGTATTCATATAGTTTATTATTATGCACCGAATATAAAGTTTGACACGTCTAATAATAATTTTTAAAACAATAATTAATTTAAACGTTATTATAATTTAGATTTTATATTTGTATGTTATAGGCAACGTAAAATTCGGGAGTGCCGCAAAAAGTATCGCGCGTACAAGTGCGGGAGTGCCGTTAAAAGTATCGCGAGTACGAGTGCGGGAATGCCGTTAAAATTAAATATTGCGCGTGTTAATCAATGAATTTTGACGACCTGAGAAGAGCAAAAGGTCTAGGAGAGGCATATGGGATACTGGCGAAACAACCCTAAGGTGAATTCGTTATTTATATAAATTATTATAAATTTCATTATTTTAGTTTATTTGAATAATTTAAACTTAGAGAAACTTGGAGATATAGCAATTTTTAAGAGATATTATATAAATATTTATATAATAATTTCTACTTAAAATTTTTTTTAATTTATAAAATTGTTTTATCATATATTTATATATAGTTAATTATTGTTATGCACTAAACATATAAAGTTTGGCGCATCCAATAATAATTTTTTGAAATAGTAATTAATTTGAATGCTGCTATAATTTAGATTTTATATTTGTATTACAGACAAGGACAATGTAACTTGAACAACGTAGCTTCAACTATTTCGCTGTTGTACATCGGTGTCGGTGAGTGAGATAAATGTTTATTTAATTTCGAGATAACGGATTTATAGATTGTAGTTGTAGATTGTAGATTGTAGATTGTAGATGTAGATAGATATTCGTTATCTTTAAATTAGAGGACTAGAATGAAGTAGATTAAACTTGGAGATGGACCAAGGAGAAGAAACGAGAAAGAGATGTGTTCTCGCGCTCGCGAAGACTTCTAGTTTTCTTATAAAATTAAAACTAGAATTTTGTTTGTTTGTTTTTTTGCGAGTTGACACAGTTCCAATATACATATATCTCTAATTTTTAAAAATCTATACAATTTATGTGAGTAATTATTTTTACAAATTGAAAAAGATACAAAGGGATTCTTTGCTGCATCCGCGATTGATCTCTGATTTAAAGCAACGCGCAACTGAAATTCAAAATGTACCTATGCGAAGAGAGCGCGAAAAAGGGAAATAAAGAGGAAACGCATACAGTCTATCTCTCTCTCTCTTTCTCTTCGTAAATCTTCCATGCGTGTAACTCATCTGACGAAGGAAGCCGCGCGGCGCTCTCGTTGCGAACGGAGTTGTTTATGCTTTCCTGTGCAGCGCTTTCTGAAATATGCAAATCGCGCGTATTCGCATAATGGCATTATCGCGGTGGGATGCCGGCGACGACGACGACGACGACGGCGAGAGATAGCTGAATTCACCTCGCGGCTCTCTCGTCGACTTCAAACGACGCGCCTACCGCGGCCCCGTTCGTTCGAGAAAATAATCAACATCGCGTTTCTCATAGCGATAAATACACAATCTGCGAATTCCCGGCGCGAAACGAAGCCGTACTTCGCGTTAATATGCGGTGGCAAAACGGCACTATAGTATCGGCGTGTCTCGTAAATATTAATGTATAAGATGCAAAACAGCAACACGTATTTAGATTCTTATGTGAATTGGAGAGTCAATTAAATGAGAGAGTCAGTTAAATGACATGTAAATACATACATGTGTAAATAATTATACTTATTTATTATTGAATATATGTTTTAAATTTAAAAAATTAATCGATCTTTCAACATATTAAGTGTATTAAAATCTATTACATTTTTCAACAAAAGAAAATTAACCGGGATGAGACTAGTCGTTTCTTATAGTATTTTTGATGCTGAATATGAATCTAGTTTCCAAATTATTCTATCACGTCACAATTTTGAGAAATTTTGAGTTGCAAAAAGGGCTTTTTTCACGAACTTTGTTATATTATAGCTACAATATATAAAATGACGTGCTGGAGAAATTTTATTGCAATCAAAATAAAGTATATTGTTAGGACTTTCAACCTTCAAAAGGAATTTTTGATGTCGATGGATATCTTATTAATCATAACCGACACCAAAAATTTTGAGAATTAAAAGTCCTAACATGCTTCATTTTGATTGTAATAAAACTTCTCTAGCACATCACATATTGTAGCTATAATATAACAAAATTGATATAAAAGCCCTTTTTGCAACTTTAATTAAAAAGTTCTCAAAATTGTAACGTGATTTGGAAACCGGATTCTATTTAGCATCGAAAAAACTACAAGGATTAATCTCGTTCCGACGTTTGCAAAAAATGATGTTCTGTTGAACAGTATTCTTGACGTTATAGTTGAAGAAGAGCGAGAGATTAAATAAATTTGTGTTCGCACATTTCTCTCTTAATGGCCGCATTCAGCAGACACAACTATTAAGTAGCGAACGTGATTGGATACTACTTTAAAATCCAGCCAATTAGCATCGAAGTACATCGGAAAATCGCTCAACTGTTGTGTCTGCTGAATACGGCCCATTATCTCAGTCGGCTTATCGGTGCTCGGGTGAAACGCTTCCGCGCGGCGATAAAGCGAGGTGCGGGAGTGCGCGCGCGGAACGGGCGGTCTTACATATTATAATTGATACGTTACAAGCGCTCCTACACGCCGTATAAGTTTATCTCCGACGCGCATCGACGAAACCGGTTAGATAACGAGGCGCGCGCGCGCACGCGCTACATCATATAATAAGGTTTAATTATTCGGATAATGAGGGCCGCGCGCGCTCGTACTCGTCTAATGACAAATAGCAGTCCAACACGGCCGCATCGCACCCGTGCGATACCGATGTTAACATGTGACATGTAACATGTTTGCGCGAAAACGACAAACAGTCAATTTCACGTCTCGCCGTGCACACGTCTTTTTTCGCCACAATTATAAATTCGATTTGTGCTCCATTCTATTTTGAAAAATAGAGAGATCAGAACATGAAACATAGTCAATTTCCTATTCAAGTACACGGAGAGAATTTTTCGTTATATTTCGCCGCAAAATTCCCTACAAATTTTATCATGTTTGGTAATAAGCTGAAAATTATCATGCTACATGTTAAAATTATTATGAACGATTAAGTTGGATTGGTGGATTGAAAATATATATTATGCTGTATTGTCAAATTTATATAAAATATTTTATATTATCACATTCGAACACTTAAAGAATCAAGGTTTCAATATAATTTTTAATATATTTTAAAATTATTGAATTTTACTATATAATTTAGTAAAAGTTAATCAAACATATTTTATACATATTTTATTGTCGTAAATATTAATCAAAGAAATTCTTACAAAATTCTTCCAATACCATATTGTCCCACGATTATCATGAATTTCAGGATAAATTCTAAGAGAAAATTCTCTCTATGTATAAAAGCGTTAAATTCTGACAAAAAACCATATATGTTTGTTGTGATAATGAAACAATTTTACATTTGAAATTTGTACGATGTCAACCATTATTTTCATCATACTTTATGAATTTTTTTAATGCTATGCAACATTGACATAATTTTCTTATTCGATGCAAAGTTGATGTCATTGATTATTTCGGTATTAATTATTCTGCGGCTCGCGAATTTCTATCGTCATATATTTTTCGATATACAAATTGCCGATCGAAGGAAGAGACAAATAGCGTGGTGTGATCCATTTAGTTCAACCTCCATTTTAATGAACTTGTCACGTCCGACGAAACTCCCGTCTGCCTAGTGTTTCTCAAATTTGAATTCCCGAGATCGTAAAGTACCTATGTAACCATCATCACGCGGAGCCGGACGCATAATCGACGCGAAAGATCTCGAAGGTATCTTCGATGCCGCCGTCGAATTCCAACGAGATTTCAAAAGAAAGGAGACTCGAGAGAAGGATGATGTACGTTCCGATCGTTCTCGAGAGGGAAAGAAGAAGGTGGAGAAGGAGCGCGTCGTATCCACGTTTTCGATGATATTTACGTGTGGCCGTACTGCGGTGAAACGGCTGTCGAACAGCGGGTTTTACAACGCGGGGACAGCATATATGTTGAATCAGGAACATATCATCGGGCCCGGGGGCTCTGGTGCTCGCTTACACGCAAGTAGATGGATGAAGGTGGCTCCTAGGAGAAGAGAGGAGGTGGCGGTTGATGGGTGTAAACTCGAGATAGCATCTCTCCGACTGTCCTCTCCGTCGACTGGATCTACCGACTCCTACATCTCTCCGCCCGACTAGACCTGTCGTCTTTACCCGGTTTTTAATTATCCCCGGGGTTCACCCTCCGCACACAAAGACAAAGGTCTGCGCAGTCAGGTAAGAAGTGCCGCCGCTTCTCGGACGGGTGACGTTTTGACGCGTCTCTTATTATGACGAGATTTCGGAGAGGTGACCCCTAAGTCGGTGATGTATCGTTTTTGACTATGACATATACACATACAATATTCTTTCTCTCTTTCTCATTTTCGGCCTGTTTTATTTCGTCGCCAGAATTTATCTGGAATTTTTTTGCCGCTGGATATATCATATTTTGCGTTTCGAACACATTAGTATCGTCGTTTAATAGTCTCAAAGAGTTTTCGGTTAAAAAATATCTTCAGCAAATATATAAGCCATAATTAGTACCATAAATAAGATAGAAGAATATTCTTTTATGCTTGCGTGGTGTTTATATTTCTGTGCGTGAATTTTTGCCGGGGGAGTCTCGTGTAAGCGCTTTTAAAGAAGATAGATAAGTTTTCCATTAATGCGAAGACGCAAATTCTTACATTTACGAGTCTTCGAAAGGTGTATACACGGGACACGGTTATTACTTTATTACCTAACCGGCGCCACTTGTTTTTAGTCAAGTATCACGATCGGGTTTTAGCGGATTGACTTTGTCGCACGTTAGGATCGAAAACAGGCCACGGAACGGAAGTGACGAATAGCCGGGTCAAGTCTTTTGAACGGTTCAGTCTCAAGACCGGGAGAAGTATACAGGAAAGACACAAAGCGCCGCTATCTGCACCATCAGTGTCCGATACCAGGCTCAGGTGACACGCTTTCCGAAAAGGTACCCACGTACCCTTATTAAGGTGGAGACACAAGGCGGACCCCTCGACGGTGCCCCGCCGATGACAGCAAATATTTACAACGTCATGCTACCTAGACTATAGGCGTGCTCGGCCGTTTCGCCGGCGCCGGAGGTTTCTTCTCTCGAGATAAAACGTGTTTTTACCACGCGACGTTCTGTATCCTTTTTCCCCACTCGATCGAATTAATCTCAGTTAACCCCCGAAAGCAATTATGTCGACGCTTAATTGTTTGTGTATCGTGTTTCCAGCAAAAGCACGCGTTCAAGTGGCGCGTATAAAAAAGTTTTCATTTATTTATACGTATATCATTCGTATTCGCGCACATATGATTTATATTAGAAAATAATTATCTCGAGACTCGAAGATTTTAAGTCCGAAAAATTGTTAATGATATCAAAATTTGATTTTCCAATTGCAGAAATTTATTACATCAATTTGTTCTTCAAAATATATACCGATTGATTATAGTCATGTATTCTATATTTTGATACTCTTGTTACCGCGAAATTCATACAATAATTAATGAATTGCGGGATGCTCTCTGTTAACATATTAATTTACAATCAACAAGTTAATAGTTACGCGATTAAATATGCAATAAATTGAACCAATCGAACCGTAC